AGCTAGAATTAAATATAACCACCTAGAAATAGATGTTATAATAGGAAAGCCTAAAGAGATAAAGAGATGTGAACAAATGGAAAGGAAATATATGTCCTACATCTAACAACAAATAACGCCCAAAATACCTGGTCCTATGGGCATATATAACTCATCAATCTTTAGATGCTGTCGAGCTGACATCTGATGAAGCAATGTTGTGGTTCGGGGATGCCATGGAACCTCTAACTCCAATGTCTCCCGTTTGATGTTGTGGCTGATCCTGTTGTTGGTGGTGGTGCAATTGATGCGGCTCATGTTGATGCAGTTGATGCGACTGGAACGGATGCGGAGGTTTCTGGGATTGAATCTGAAGTTGCTGGAACTGCTGTGCAGTTAGAAGGGTATGCATCGCCTGATTATTTGAGTAGTACTGTTGATTAGCTCCGAAAGATGCATAGTTCATCATCTGTCCACCGTTCGGCATAGATTGGCCAGTCAGTACTTTCAGATGCTGGATTTCCTCTTTTAGTGCATCGTTTAATGCTATCAAACAACAAAAAGAAAGAAAAATCCATTAATTTAGGTAAAAAGTGGAAGTAGCTAAAACTTAACCGATATGCAAAGCAAAAAGTTGAACCACATCGAGAGCCACTCAATAACACTTTGGAATAATAAATACATTTTTGTTCTGAACCAAGTTTTTTCCAACTCTTTGTTCTACCAACAAAATAACAATTTAAGCACATATTGAGGAATCTATATTCAAGAGCCTTGTTAATTGTATCACCATATTCTCACATGTAGAAACCTTTCAAATCAATAGCATATAGCCCCATGATACATATTTCCACTGGGATGAGGAAGATGACAGGCAAAATAATACGGAAAGAAAAGCAAAAGAGGAAAGGTATTGGTATTTAGCAAAAAGTTTGCATGAGGTGCTCACCATCTTGCAAATGAACCTGTTGCTCCATTGTTTGCAACCGCAGTTTCAACTCACTATTTTCAGAAGTCAGACCATTGGTGTCTCTCTGCCCGTAAATTACCAGAAAAGAGCCAGATGAATCATTAGATCTAAGTAAATTAAAAGAACACAAAAACATAAAAATAAAAACAAAAGGACATGAATTCCTGCTATATTTGTGTGTGTGTGTGTGTGTGTGTGTGTGTGCATTTCACAACATTTAGAAAGCACACAAGGAGAGGGTGCTGAGCTGATGAAACAACCTGTAATAGAGCCAGCTGGGCAGAGAGTGATGTTGCTTCTGTTTGCAACGTCTGTACTTTCCGTTCAAGCTCAGCTATATATCGCATCTTTCTTTCCTTTGATCTAGCAGCAGACTGCCTATTTGCCCAGATCCTGTTACAAAGAAAGACAAGAAAAGGTGGCATCAAAATCGGAAAACACATATCAGGGTAACAATATTCATCCCTGTTCAGTAAAAGACAAAATTCAAAGAAGATTTTTTTTCGAGGGGAAGAAAAGGGGACAGGCGGATAGAAAACCAGCAATTGCCCTAGTTTCAAGCTAGCTTCAAACTAAAACCTAGTTACACAGTCTCTCTGTAAACACATCTTCATGGAACTGGTCTTAACCTGACAGCAAAAGGCCTAATGCTAGGATGTAAGCGAAGAAAAAATAACATCTTCACACGGAGCATATTGCAGAAGGTTTGATGTTGAGATTTAAGATAAGAAAAAAATGAGGAGCACGTTCTGAAGGCTTAATGCTGGTATTTGAGCTAAGAAAAAATAGCAACATCACGAGAACGTTGCATAGGTTTAAAACTAGGATTTAAGCATAACGTTGCGTAGGTTTAATGCTGGGATTTAAGCATTTGCAACATCACGAGGAGAACGTTGCATTAGCAACATCACGAGGAGAACATTGCATTAGCAACATCACGAGGAGAACATTGCATAGGTTTAACGCTGGGATTTAAGCATTTGCAACATCACGAGGAGAACGTTGCGTAGGTTTAACGCTGGTATTTAAGCATTAACACCGCCATGTGGAGCAAGTTGCACAAGGCTTAATGCTGGGGTTTAAGTTAAGAACAAATTAATATCATAACCGAACACGTTGCAAAATTCTTAATGATGGGATTTAAACTAAGAAACAAATTAGCATCACTTGATATTCGTTGGGGTAGTATTTTAATGCCGGGATTTAAGCAAAGAGAAAAATTAACATCACGCGGAACAAACCGAGCGCTTCTTTCATTAACCCATAGCACATCTCTATATTTCTATCTTCAGCCATGAGTTAGATCACAATTCATTCTAAAATATAATCAGCAAGCTCGTAATTCGGAATGTGTAGCCATCAAAATAATTATCATGGTAAAAAGAAGTAAAATCCCTACCTTCCTTCTAAACATTATTCTTTTAACTAAATTCGTAATTAAAGACGCTGCCAATAAATTACAATTCAATCAATTTAAGCATATATAAGAATCTGAATGAAAAAGAAATAAAGGAAACGATACCTCTTAGCACGCTTGGGATCAATAAGGGCAAGCTCAGCAAGCTTGGCAGCTGACATAGCTTTCTTGGAATCAGCAGGCGAAGCTTCTTCGGAACCGGACATAAGCATTTCCGGCTTAATATTGGTTGACCCATCCATAGACTGGCTATGCTGGTGCCTAACTCTAGGTTTCTCAGAAGACCCAACAGTAATACTCGCGTTTTCACCATTCATCCCCGTTCCCACTCCGGCAGCTGCCGCAGCAGTAGCCGGAGCACCGGTGGTGGCCGAAGACTCACCGACCTGAAATGTCGAGGTCGCAGAAGAAGAATTGAACTTATCCATATCAAGATACATAGAGAACAAATCCTCCTCCGTATCGTCGGAATAAGACGGCCCGTCAGCAGCTCCAACAACTCCGAGATCACTGTCGAAGCTAATATCATCGGGAAGAGTAAGGATTTCGGAATGGGCACGGCGATGACCTAAGTTCTTCGGCGGATTATCAGACATTTTGCTAATATCATGGCTGAAACGATTCGAATCCGAACTTTGACCGAATGAGTTCAAAGCATTTCCGCCAGATGAAAACCCGGAATACCTACCGGAAGGCGGAGGTAAGCCAGGAGATTTATCCTTCTCCATCCCAGCAAAAAAAAAAACAAGAAAAAAGCCTAAATTTTGAATCAAAACCCAAGCAGAAAATAAAACCCTAAGAACAGCAAAGATCAGTAAACTACAGAAAGGGGTATAAAAAAACAAACGGAAACGATAAATTACAAAAGAAATTAAGCAAAAAAACAAAGTGAAAACTTGGGGAAGAAGACTGAAGGACAACAGCAGTAGTAAAAGAAGATTTTCCCGAGAAAATGATGAGTTTGAAAATCTAAGACCAGATCTTGAGATTAAATAGGAGAGTAAATGGAAGGAAATCAAATCATTTCATAAATGGAAGGAAAATAGAGGGAATTGATTACAGGGTGTGGTGTAGATAAAAGTGAAAGGAATCGAATGAAGGATATCACATGGTGGGAAAAGGGTAAGCACAGAGACAATTTGAGATCTGAAAGACATTATTATATAAATATTTTATTTTATGTATTAGTCGAGTTTGATTCGGACAAATCGGACAAAAATTAGATTTAATTCGATCATTATTATTCTAATTTGAACAAAATATAAGTGTCAATATCATCTGTGGATTTAAATTCAGACAAAACATTTAAATTTTATTCGATCGATTATCTATTTAAATTCAAATAGTTTTAATTATCGAGTTAAAAATCAAATATAAAATTATTAATGAAGGGTTTGTTAATTTTATCTGGAATAAAATATTAAGGTTAGCCTCCTTGTTTAAGAATTAAATTTTAAAAATAATAAATTTTAATCGATCGAGTTTATTTATTCAAATTCAAACAACTCAATCTCTTGAGTTAAAATTTAAAGTTAAATACTTAATTAATTACCAAAATATAGGAGGATATTTCATTTTTAATATATTTTTATTAATAAAAAACACAATTTAAATCGGGTTGGTAATTATTTGAAATCTAAAGTAAAAGTCAAAATTCTTTTTCATTGATTGAATGGGTTTAATCGATAAAATTCTCGTAGTTTAATTTTTATTTCGAATTTAATTTAAATAATAAAAATGAAATTTTATTTGATCTTGAATTTAATTTTAATATTATAAATAAATTCATCGATGTATAATAGGTAAGGTAGTTTATGTTGATTTAAACAATTGAAAAGAAAGTAATTAAACCGGTAATTTTTAGTTCATTTCTTTTAATTTAAGTAAAGAGTCACGTGATAAATATATTCGTTACTCACCTCTCTTTGAAGAGAATCAGTAGTAAATTGAGCTAATCTGACTCAGTTGTATGAGTAGAAGGCCATTTTATTAATGTTACTTTTACAATCACGGCCTCTTGCAAATACGGTATCTTATTAATATGAATAATCCAGCACCTCCGACTCAGTTCACATGAGTCGGAGGTTATTCCGTTAATGTCACACCCTTCGAGCAAGACTGAAATACGAATTGAATAAACAAACATGTTAGTACTATTAAGCATGGCAGTAAACGCCGTGCTACTTAAACTCGTATCGTATATATGAATAAAATCCCACTATGTTTGTTTCCAGCATGGATAGAAAACATGTGGCCGGGACCTCTTTGGAGAGTCTAGAACTGGTCCTGCTGCTCCTTTCTTCGAGTTCGTCATCGTCCTTGCTATCGCCATCTCTTCCGAATGAGCAATCGATCTAGTCTCAAACACGACACAGCCGATTACAGCGAGAGCTCAAACCAGTAATTACCACGACTTCCATGACGACTGAGCTTTTTCTCGATGCGAGACATTGTTTTTTAAAAGAAATGATGTGATGGAATATGGCATGATCCTCCTCATCAATCCTTCAGATGACTAAATGTTTGTACATATAGAATTTAATCCCTCTACTTTTATTTTTAGAAATTTAGTCATCTAACTTTCAGAATTAAAAATTCAAATCCCAAACTTTGAAAAAAAATATGCAAAGCACATTGGCATTGGTAAATATTGTGGTTTTTTTTTATTATTTCACATTTGGAAGAGCTAACATCTATACACATACAGCAATGGAGTCTCAACAAACCCTAGAAATTATCCTTTGCTCGGCGGATGACGCCCAAGGCTTCAGCCTCATTTGTGTCCTCCGGAATATTTAGTGCCTGCCTGATTTCCACACTCGATGTCCGAAGGAACGGATTACACGCCTTCTCTGTTTTTAATGTAGTTGGAATCTGAAACAGCATATTGATAGTCAATACAACATTATTTGGCAAATAGGGTGCTCGCTTGCTCGACTTGTATGGATCAAGTCAAGCCAAAACAGTTGAACTCAATCAAGGAAAACGATGTCGATGGTGAATATCTAAAACAAAAGATGTAACAAGGTTAGAGCTGAACCGATATATGGTTCATAAAATGGAGAAAGACACATGTTATCAAATAAGTAATATAAGAAGATTGAATGCTAGACGGAAATCGCAGTCTAAGTCCTTAACACATGTATGTAAAAGATTCTATGTGTTCTAAAGAATAGGAACAAGCAAACACCTGTAGCTCGGTGCAATTTTCATTTTTTCGACAAATTTCATGATCTAATCCTTCAGATGAATCATAAAACACACACGCACACATAAAAGTAACAGTCACCAGTAGGCCTGTAAATGAACTGAAAGTTCAGCGAATCATTCATGAACCGTGCGGCGGGAAGTTCGTTTATTTGTGTTTATTTATTAAATGAACGAACATGAATAAGATTTTGTGTTCGTTTAATTAAATGAACGAACATGAACATAGGTCTCGTTCGTTCATTTACGTTCGTGAACGTTCGGTTATGTTCGTTCGGTTATGTTCGTTTATGTTCGTTCATTTATGTTTAACCCAATCTTCTTAAATCAATTTTAGTGACCAATTTGTAAGTATCTTAAAAATATTAATTAATCTAATATTCTGATGACCAACTCCATAATTAACCCAATTTTATTTGGAGATTAAATCTGATTGTGGAGTAAGCTTTAGGTACGTTAAAATTTTGAATGGTGGTTTAGTAATAATATCAGTTAAATATGTAGCATCGGGGGGATTTCAGATCTATGTTATTGCTTTGTAGTCCAATTTGTATCGTTCGAAATCTTCATGCTGTTAAATTTTCTACTCTGCCAATGGAAATGATCATTATTAACAAATCTCATTAAAGTCTGACATTGATGTCACAAAACTTTTAGCCGGCGAATTTATTAGAATAACGTAGTGCAAAATGATTGTTCATATGTAATCATGGACCACTAAGATAAATGTTATAGAGTTAAATTAAAGTCGTGTGAATCATTTAATATCTTTAAAAGATCGATCAAAATATCTGATATCTTCAAACATTTCATTACTGCTAATCAGCTCTTACGCTATTTATCACTGTAGATTTGGTTGATTTGCATTGTCGACTATTTTTCATAAAAGAATAATGGAAGGTAGGGTCTCCAACGTTTATGTTCGTGTTCGTTTATGCTCGTTTATTTATTAAATGAACGAACATGAACAAGCTATATTCCTTAATGAACGAACATGAACAAAAAAAAATTTGTTCGTTTATGTTCGTCTATTTATTAAATGAACTAACATGAACATACCTCTGTTCGTGTGCGTTCGGTTCATTTACAGGCCTAGTCACCAGCATTACTTTTTAACATTAATCCTCGAAAGGTCAGAGAAAAATACGGAATGCAGAAATTACCGTAGGCAACCCCTTGTTGCGAAGGTGAGCTACATGTGCTGCATACGACTTAAGCGCATTGTTCTTGGGCTCAATGGATAATGCAAATTTTGAACTACTCTGCCAAAACAGGTACATATATGATTAGTTCCTTTTGGAATTCCGAACCAGGAAAATTTCATGAGTTTAGCTAAAACGATAAATTGACTAACCAAAGTATATTCGTGACCGCAATATATATTTGTATCATCAGGCAGAGACGTGATCCTCTGAAGGGAAGAAAGCATCTGCAGAGTAGAATTCAGCCATTAAGATACGGCTCAAGAACAGCAAAGATGATTTGTTGGATTATGAAAGATCAATTCATGATGCATACTATCAAAAATTTAGAATTGTTTCGCATTTAATTCCCATGTTACGACTCTTCATTTTGTTTTAAGTACCTATGTCCGACACTTGTGTCCAGCACATATCTAGACACACGAATGGAAATATGACCTTACTAATACATGGAATACTTGGAAAAGTATTTAACATGCCAATATCAGACACTGATACCTAACTCCAAATAACTCTTAGGTTATATCCACTGTCAACTAATATATCGTAAATTATAGATGTCAGTTACCTGCTCCGGATTTCCTTCGAAAAGCTTGCCACATGATAAGCTGAACAAAGTATCTCCAGTAAATATTGCTGCAGAACTCGGAAAATAGAAGCTGATATGGCCTGCAAGACACATTTCAATTTTTCAGTATTGATAATAATAACCTATGTTCATCCGACTCGTCGTTTTACTTAAAGTAACCAAACATTGCATAGTCTTGGACACATACTCGTATCCAACACTCAAACCCAAATCCCCATAGCTAAAAGTGAAACAAAGAGGAATGAGAAGTTACAGGCTACCATAAAATGCGGGAAACAATATGACTGCTACACATTCAAACATTATTTCATCAAATTTTGAAAGAAAAAAAAAATTGAGTAATGAATCTAACCTCGGGTATGACCAGGAGTTTCGATGACCTGCACCTCATGACCTGCAAACATCCATTTGTCCCCATCATTTAGAACAATATCAATTCCAGGAATTCTGTCCTTGTCTATTGCCGAACCAATAACCTACACGAACGACAACTGTTGTTATTGTTATGATTATACCGCTCATTGTCTTAAAAAAGTCCGTGATTCAAATGCTTTATGGAACAGGTGAAAACCTCATATATGTCATTGTCTAAAAACTATTTGTAGAAAAACAGTTTTTATTCCTTAAAAAATAAGAAGCTTTATTTAACAAAGGGCAACGAAAAGCGCAAGCGTTCGATAGCTCCACTTGCATTGCAAATAATGTTGTCCATGGGCCGGGCAGGGTTACGGTCCATTTTTCATTGCCTAAGCCAAGCCCATACATTGTTCCATACCTTGATTTCACGGCTGGCAGATATCTACTCCACTCGAGGGTATGATTTAATGCCCGATACGAGCTGAAAATGTTAACTGAACCAAGAAATAACAATTTATATACCTTTGCTCCATATCTTGCTTTCAGCTCTGCATTCCCACCAGTGTGATCTTGATGATGATGGGTGTTCAATATATAAGTCAAATCCCAGTTTTTCCGACTTAAAGCATCAATAATTGGCACAGCTTCTGATGGATCAACGACACCAACAGTGCCAGTGTCAACATCATGTAAAAGATAAGCATAATTGTCTTGAAGACATGGCACCTGAAAAAAAAGGTTAGTGATATTTTCATATATAATATGTTGGCATCGTACATGAAATTCAGTTACTATAACCTTCAACAACAACAACCTCAAAAACATTATTACAAGGTTAAAATGATATCAAACGGAAATTGAATTGACAAAAAGAAGGCCAAATAAACCATCAAGAGTAAGAAACAAGTAAAGAATCATTAAAACAAAATTTAGAATACGAATATTAAAAAGAGGCATGCTCACCAATTCAACTTGTAATGACGAAGACATGTTGGAAACACTGCAAAACTCAGCAACCCTAAGAGAGCGACTTGCTCCGCGCAAGGTTTTGAAGGGGGTTGATAATAACCACAAACCATACTCGAGACCTTTTCTTATGCAAAGCTGCCTCAACCCTGGCCACACACAAAGTCCACTCCTTACCTATAAAATTCGAAAATAGGATTTCAAATATAACCATAAACCAACATATATTCAAAATAGAGTTCCTGAAATAACAATCAAATACAAAATCACCCAAAAGAAAGGATTTTGAACTACAATCATGACTGTAAGCGGCCAATTCGCCTATGACAATCTACATACATACAAATACAAGTAAATGCATGGAGAGATACAAAGCTATTATGTGCCTAATTGTAGGTACATGGCTCGAATCCCACATTGGGAACTAGAGGATTTCCTTATATATGGGGCTGAAGATTATCACCCTAATGGTTAGCTTTTGAGGTATGATTCTCCAAAGATCCATATTAATCAGCATAAGAGCTTCCTACCACTGCTCTTAATTGCAATTGCGCAGCATGGATGGTGAAACCGATATTGTAACATTCGTCTCAGGCTAGATAGTCTACTGCAAAGACAACCGGCAACTACGGTCATGGTGAAGGTACTTGGATCCCAGATTGGAAAGTATCGAACTTCCTTGTGAGGAGCTAAGCTCTCCCACCTCAAGACATCTCTTAAAAGATGACAGCCATCCGCAAGCAACCGAAAATTCTATACTATAAATCACCCCATTTGCACAAACAAAATTCATACCAACAATTGGTGACAAAACAAGCTTCAAATGTTCTTATAAGACAAAACTACTGAAAATCATATGACCCAATACTGGAAAAGTGATTAAGATTGGAATAGAAATGCAAATTATAGATCAGAGAAACCCAAAACCCAGATTCCCCATTAAGCTAAACTAGACTAACTCTAAGCCAGAGGAAAGGGGAAATATACAGAAACAAAGTGAAAATAAGACACAAAAATCAAATGGGAAACACCCATTTCCTCAATTAGCTACAATAAGATTGTTTTCGTTTCCCCAAATTGGGTACAAGAAAAAAAAACAGATCTTTGCAGTTATTTCTTCATTTCTTTTCCAGAAAACAAAACAAATTCAAGCAGTATTAAACAGAAGAGGGGGAAGGAAGAAAAATCAATAAAACTGATGATGAAGAAAGAAACAAACCTTGGAACAAGTAACGGAGGCCATGGAAGATGAAGCTTTAGAGAGCATTTGCATATTTCTCTCAAAAATGAAAATTTTCTCTTTTAAAGAGAGAGAGAGAGAATGAATATTGTGGGCTGTCAGCAGTCAGCTTGCCAATAATGTGTGTGAAAAACATTTTTTAGAGAAAAATAATAATTTTAATATTGAATGAAAGATGTTGAAGAAAAATTAATTAAATGAATGGATTTTGCATTGTTGATAAAATTTTGAAATACCCGATATTATTGAGATCTTTTATGAATTTGGGGAGTATTTTATTGAAATAAAATTCTTTTAAATTGATTAATTTATAGGCATGAAATGTCAAGTAAGTACTGACGGGATTAATTCATGTGATAAGTAGATTAATATTATTTAAATAGATCTCTAATTTCAAGTTTTGTGTATGTAAAATCTTTCATCAGACGGATTAATTAATAACAAGCCTTGAAAATCTGACAATAAAAAAAATCAAATCAGTTATTTAAATATTTCTTTTAATATTATCAATAAAATTAAAAGAACTATTACAAAAAATTAGTATTTAATTTAAATTAATTAATCTATCAAATATCGGTAATTATATATAAAAAAATTCAAATAAATAATAAACTTAATTTAAAATTATTTGACATCAATTTAACACAAGCATTTTTTCTTGTTCATACAATGGAACGCGTTTGTTTGCGCTTACATGTTTTGTATATGTTATTTTAAGGGTAAATTACTTATATAGTCACTAAATTGTGTTTATATATGAGATATGTTCTATTTTGATCATTGTACTATAAATTTTATTAATCAAGTCATTAATTATTAAAATCATTTAAAACAAGCTGCTAATAATTAATTGTCAATAAAAAATATCGATATGGTAGTTAATAAAATTGATAAAATATATAATTAACAATTTTTCTTAACTATCATGTCAACATTTTCGTTAATAGTTAACGATCAGTGGCTTTATTAAAATTATTTTAATAATTTATTGACATGATTGATAAAATTAGTAGAATGTAATGAGAATCAAATATATAATTATATAAATTTATTAACTATCATTTCAATCTTTTTATTAATAGTTAATAATAGGTGTCTTGATTAGACCATTTTAATAATGTAATGTCTTGATTGAAAAAATTCATAATTTAGTGATATAAAAACAAAACTGTCATATAGTTCAATGACTATACAGGTGGTTTACCTTTATTTCAATTTGATATGAACTATTATAGTTATAAAGTATTAATTAAAGCTAAAAACTTCGTGGAATTATAGGGAAATTTTACGAAATAGAATCTTAACTTAAAATCATTGACAGATAATAATAGGTGACTTAGTTGAATTATTTAACATTGAATATTTATATTTTTAATATATATTGTGTTTGATTTAGAATATTGAGAAATAATAATAATTATTTAATCACTAAAATAGTTTGATTCGTGCAAAACGATGAATCATTTAAATATATATCAACTATCATTAAATACAGGGACAAACATAAAATTTTATATTAAATATGATAAATTTATAAAATTTTATAAATGTGAAAATAAGTTATCAATAAATTATACATAAAAAATTAAAATATAAAAGAATTTATCCTAATATTTTTTAAGTGTAAAGTTGACCCATATTGGTGACATAATTGGTGTCACCTTTTTATGAGACATCGTTAGCTTTACCTACCACTCTTTGAAATATGGCAAAGCCATAAAGGTAAGCTGTTAAATAAACACATAATATTTCCACAACCTTAAAGAAATCGTGACCGTCGGTTTGAAAATGGTACATCTGAATCACATGAATGTGGGATTTTGTTTGGTTTGGACCGGTTCATCTCACATGGAAGAAAACAATCCGTTCTCGGATTAGACGACCGAACCGCTACCTAAATTTTCTAAAATTTTTGGCACAATCTCATCATTATTGTGTCGTGGATATTGTCAAAAGACCGAATAAATGTGAACTTTCAGGCATTAATTAGGTCTTCATATACCCAAAAAAATACAAATAATTTGTTTAGGTTTATTTAGATAAATAATAAAATAAAAATCTAAGAGAAGAATAATATGATCAAAATAAAAAAAAGGATCAGAACTACCAATGATTTTTTCAATGTCATAATCAACCGACATTTTTTGTTAAACGCAAGGACTAAATTAATGAAAAGAACTTATTAGTTTTTTAATACTGATCTACTATTTAAAAATAGTCTTATATATTTAAATTTTAAAATAATTTTAAAATGATGTGAGTGGACAGGTATAAGTTGAATGGTCCAGGTTATTTTAGAAAAAATTAGCATCCAAATGCGTGGCGTATCACAGAATAAGCAGTTCCAGCTAAAATGTTCACACCACTACAACATATAACGTTACAACAACAGTGGTGAAGATGACCGGTACCGGACATGTTTCGTACGACAGTAGACAACAGTAACGCTGACTATATTAGAGTTGCATATTGCTTCGGCTTTTCACTTTTTCTTGATCGAAACGGAGCCCGAAAACTAGTAAAGTAGAAGCAGACCCCTCATAGTTCATCCTACAGATAAGGAAACGAACTCGTGGTTAGATATTTGGTTGGGATGCTTTCGAGTATGTCACTTAGATTCTGCAGTGTCGGGTACCGATATGCCTACTTAATTTTTTTGTTATTGGCGGATATAGTCCGAAGCTCTTAAACAAAAGGAAAAGAAGAAAGGAGAGAAGAACCTATGATTGTTCAAAACCTAAATGCAAAGGATATCAAACATATTTCTTAATGTTTCCTATATATTATAGGGGAACAAAATCCCCGACCACAAGCCCTTCAACCCGAAAAGTGACTTTTACGGCGAATTTATTTATCGATTTATTCATATATAAACTCAACTCAACCAAAAGGAATTACTGAGAAGGGACAGAGAGGAAAATGGACTTACGTGGTAATCATCTAGATAATCACGAGGATCATGCTGCCAAAACAAAATCGAATAAACATCAACTCAAACTTGAATACAAGGAAAAGAAGGGAATATTCTAAAAGTTTGTATTTCAGGCCTCTTCCTAACATGGTGCAACAATGATAGTCTCATTGTTCAGACTTCACTCACTCGTGATTACATCCGTCGCCACTATCTTTCTAAGTAACCTAGAAATTCTTTCTTCCTATTCATTTGGGTGTGCATATATATACACGACATTGTATATTAGAATCAATTAATATCAGCAAATGTTACGAGACATCAAGAAATATTTTGCAACCTAAGATATACCATAGACTTAGCTCATTATGATTGAAATTCGATCTAACTTGATCTCACATCTTTGAACAACAAACACATGGGATCATAGGCTTTTTGTTGATTAAATGATCCCCAAAGGAAAAAATGTCTTAGAGAAGAATAAATAAAGACAAATAAAATACCCTTCTTCGGTGTCTCTTGTCTCTATGTCGATGGTCCCTTTCTCTTCTACGCTTTTCACCCTCCTCTCTTGCTCTTTTAGCCTCCTGTACAAATAGCCATTCAAAGACTTCAACAAAATTCATATATAATATAGCTGATTCTAGATTCAAAGCCCTATGAGAAACTATATAAGCCCAAATAACCTCTTCTTCCCGAGCTCTTCGTTCTTTCTCTGCTTCTTCAAAGGCTTCCTTTTCAGCCTGAAATTTACCGTGCAAATCATTAGGTGCTTAGACAGTTCAATTCACTGTAGTCTGAAAATTCACATCTCACCTCCCTATTGTTGCCCGATAAATCTTCTACAATTTCTCTTGCATATTGTGGGTCATCACAAACCAATATGTTGTCAAAAACCGAACCAGCCTTTACCTGTAATATGAAATATAATCCATTTAGTTTTGCCATACAGCTGATCTTAGGTATTCAATATGGGTAGCCAACGAACATGCAAATGTACCATTGGAATAAGAGGTATACCACGTTAACATGTCATTTAACATTACTGAAAAAAAAATGATAACAACAAGAACCTTGGAAAATTGTCACTTTTGGCACAATAGGATCGTTTCTTTTGTTCATGAAAAGAGAAGATCTATCTTCAACCACCAGAAGCATAAGGAGAAATGTTTGATGCTTACCTGCCAGACTTCAATACCCACGTATTTGATCGGTTTCAGCACATAGAGGTCTGGATCATCTTCAAACTCTAAGACAGAAAAAGTAAGAAAAAATGAGAACAGAAAGCAGCCAGTATATATTCAAGACTGGACCGAGGACAGCCATAGATAACAACTGCAAGAATACATCGGAACTCCATTGAAAAGCACCAAAAATGATCGGTGTATATATTGCAATCTTTTACAGGCAAATGTTTAGAAATGCAAAGAGTAGTTTAGATTGCAGCTCAGTGACTACTTATGTAGACTGTAATAAGCATTTATGAGAAGTTAAAGTCCCCTGATTATGCTCTAGTTTCAAACTTTCAAATGAGTGATTTTACCATCAAGCCAATGACATCTAGTGAATAGGACATACCTGGGTTATCAATCCATGGAGTCTTCCACTTTCCCTTGTAGTTGGGGTTCTTGATTTTCTGCAGAAGGCATGCATAGGTCAGAATTTTTGCAGAAATACTACTTTCTATCTTATGTTAATTGCTTGAAAGTACCTTGGGCTTCCATGGTCCTTTGTATTTTGGATTTGGGATCTTGGGTGGTCTCCAAATACCGTCTTCTTCATCATCCCAGTCATCAGGCTATAAGGAAAAAAGTTAAAAGCATGTAAAGAATGACTTCTTATCATTGAAATAATATCAACAATCACATTCAGAGCCTAATTATCATCCTTTGGGTTGTTTGGGGGGGGGGGACACATAATCAATAAAGAGCCCACATGTTTAGACAAAAGACAGGTAATCATTCCAAACAGACAGTCTTGAAACAGTGTTAGACATCTGAACGTAAGACCACTGGACTTGAATAACGAGTGCAAACCTCTTTTGCCTTAGGATCTGGAATTTCAGCAGGAATTTTATCATATCCCTGCATAAAACCAGATAATAGAAGTTAGTTCATAGTAAATCACATGATCGTTTCAGAGATCACCATTCTGAAAATAAGTATGTGCTACCTCTGGTTTGACATC